CTTTCATATATTGCTTCTTCACACTATCTTTTGTAACTGGTATTAAAAATACTTCTAGGGGCTGGCCAGCGCCGTGGCTCACTTGGCTAATCCTCCGCCTGCGGCGCCAGCACACCGGATTCTAGTCCCGTTCGGGGTGCCGGATTCTGTCCCGGTTGCCCCTCTTCCAGGCCAGCTCTCTGCTGTGGCCCGGGGAAGGCAGTGGAGGATGGCCCAAGTGCTTGGACCCTGCACCCCATGGGAGATCAGGAGGAAGCACCTGGCTCCCGGCCATCTGCGGGATTAACCAACGGAAGGAAGACCTTTCTCTCTCACACACTAACACTGCCTGTCAAAAAAAATTTTTAAAAAATACTTCTAGGGGACGGCGCTGTGATGTAGCCAGTAGAGCCACATCCTGCAGTGCCAGCATCCCATGTGGATGCCGGTTCAAATCCCAGCTGCTCCATTTCCAATCCAGCTCTCTGTTATGGCCTGGGAAAATGCCCAAGCCCTTGGGTTCCTGCACCCATATGGGAGACCCAGAGACCAGGAGCTCCTGGCTTCTGGCTTCAGATCAGCACAGCTCCAGCCATTGCGACCATGTGGGGAATGAACCAGCGGATGGGAGACCTCTGTCTCTCTGTAACTCTTCCTTTCAAATAAACAAATAAATCCAAAAAAAATTTCTAAAGGTAATTCAAATATTTGAAATCATCAGTGAGCTGAAAATTGACATGTAACTATATATCTAAATTAGACAACATTCTAGGAATCATTCTGATATTCACATATGTATGTAGACTTTCATATTCACTATCAAGCAGTACATTGAAGAAGTAATTCTGGATTCCCCGGTATATAACAAAATGCAATTCAAATCACACAACACCTTTGTCATTCATAAATCATAACTTGGCTTTACATAGAAGCTTCATCCTCGAAGTGCTTTCAGAATACCCTTGGCAGAAATACATCAATTGTCCCAGCAATTAACTTCCACATCTGCCACCCCAATCTAACTTGTATACATATTGAACCTTTTATAGGATCCAAATTATGTGGATAATCCCCACTGTACTCCTGAGTTTTTAGAATGCCTAAGTAGAATGGAAAGGTAGAGAGCAAACCTACATCAATACATCATTTCAAAACTTGTAAGTCCTCACACTTTAATGATAAAATACACTGTTTTTAAATCTCCATCAAAAAAGAATAGTGAATATATAACAAACTCTTGTTCAGAAACAAGTCTACATAGCACTACACAGTGCTTCTCAAATTCAGGGTAGGAAATAATTCTGAAGAGAGATGACTCCTTTTTTTTTCTTCTTTTTTGACAGGCAGAGTGGACAGTGAGAGAGAGAGACACACAGAGAAAGGTCTTCCTTTGCCCTTGGTTCACCCTCCAATGGCCGCCACGGCCGGCGCACCACGCTGATCTGAAGCCAGGAGCCAGGTGCCTCTCCCAGTCTCCCATGGAGTGCAGGGCCCAAGCACTTGGGCCATCTTCCACTGCACTCCCGGGCCACAGCAGAGAGCTGGCCTGGAAGAGGGGCAACTGGGACAGAATCCGGAGCCCCGACCGGGACTAGAACCTGGTGTGCCGGCGCCGCAGGTGGAGGATTAGCCTATTGAGCCACGGCGCCGACCGAGAAATGACTCCTTGATAGTGGAATTCCAAATAGCTACTTAAAGTATATGATAATAGCTACAAGAGGAACATAAAAGTTCACTTAAAGATCCATAAAATAGGGGCCAGCACTGTGGCAGAGCAGGTTAAAGCCCCAGCCTGCAGCACTGGCATCCCATATGGGCGCCAGTTCAAGTCCCAGCTGCTCCTCTTCTGACCCAGCTCTCTGCTTCTGCTATGGCCTGGGAAAGCAGTGGAAGATGGCCCAAGTCCTTGGGTCTCTGCACTCACGTTGGAGACCTGGAAGAAGCTCCTGGCTCCTGGCTTTGGATCGGCGCAGCTATAGCTGTTGCGGTCATTTAGAGAGAGAACCAGTGGAATGGAAGATTCTCTCTCTCTCTCTCTCTGACTCTACTTCTCTCTGAAACTCTCTTTCAAATAAATAAAATAATTATTTAATAAAAAATCCATAAAATATAAACAAGTTATTCTTTAAGATTTTACTTTACGTTTTCATAGCCTTGCAGGTAATCAATATTTTACAATTAGCAATACTTTCACACATTAAAACAACCAAATTAAACAGATGCGGCCGGCGCCGCGGTTCACTAGGCTAATCCTCCGCCTTGCGGCGCCGGCACACCAGGTTCTAGTCCCGGTCGGGTGCCAGATTCTGTCCCGGTTGCCCCTCTTCCAGGCCAGCTCTTTGCTGTGGCCCGGGAGTGCAGTGGAGGATGGCCCAAGTGCTTGGGCCCTGCACCCCATGGGAGACCAGGAGAAGTACCTGGCTCCTGCCATCGGATCAGCAAGGTGCGCTGGCCGCAGCGCGCCGGCCGTGGCGGCCCTTGGAGGGTGAACCAACGGCAAAGGAAGACCTTTCTCTCTGACTCTCTCTCACTGTCCACTCTGCCTGTCAAAAAAAAAAAAAAAAAAAAAAAAACAGATGCTCCTTCCACGAGGCGTTTTCTTTTTAAAAATGCAATCCTCCTACGTAAGCCCAATTTACTAAGTGAGCCCTAACAACATTTCAAGGAAGCAGATCTTGTTATATCTTTCAGCATGTCTCTCCATGCCTAGAAAAGCCCTCAAGCAACTTCAAGACTTCAACTCTGCAGAATCCTTTAGATCTTCACCCTTCACTTTATTCTATCAAATCACTTGCAGCTTTAACTCTTCCAAAATTGAAGCTTTCACATTTCCAGAGCAAACAGTTTAAACTCACTCACTCTAAATTACGTGATATAACTGAAAGCCCCTTAATTTACCCAGAGGTCTTTTCACTTTTAACAGAAGTCTGCTAACCTGAATTTATATTAGCTTACAGTTTCAAGAGATTTAGAAGTTAGGAAATAAAAATGAAAACTTTCCATACAGAATAAGAAAACTCATATCCCAGGAAGGGAAGACTGGAAGCTGGAGACTGGCATCTGTTCTCCACTTACCTAATCATATAATCATACACCTTAGAATCACCTGGTTCAACACCTGATTTTAAGTGACAAAGCTGATGCCCAGAATCCAGTTAACCACTCATAAAATCGACAGTACCCTGTATCCTCCCTAAGGTATTCCTGTATTTCATTTCATTCCATAACTCTGAAGGCATAGATTCCCTACAATCTAACTTGTGCACATTGGATCTCAACAGTGTGGCCCCTGTATTTCTGTGGAAAGAGCAAGCTGTATGTAGAGTGAATGATTGAAGGAAAGGCCTATAAGTAGTTTTAAATTCTAGGGCTGCCTTGAATATATATATAGTATCTAACTCCAAAACCATGTAATAGGTATTCTTAAGATTCACAATGTACCTAAGAAAGTTGAACCACATTTTTATGGTCATTTTGCAGAAGAAAAAAGTGGCTTACTGGTTTCTGGTCTATTCATCCCCTCACTTTGAATTTACATTTGTCTGGTAGTAAGTTAGGCCTGCCTGGTCAACAGTTAAGAAAGTTAAATTTCAGACTTTATATTAAATTATAATGAAATAATGTACTAAATTCAGAAAACAATTTAAAATTCGAGTTCTAATTTTTCCTTCATGTGTTTTAAAGTAAATAGCTCTATAGCCTTAAAGATAGTAAAACTTATTCAGCCAGCGTATACATTGTAAACAAGCGTTTCATTTAAGAACCAAATGATATACAATATATACACAAACATGCAGGGGAGCACCAGACAGAGGTAATATTGTGGTATCAACCACTTCACAGCCTATTTGTGTGTGTGCATGAAAGTTAGATCAGCCAAAACTTAATGGCAAAAAAACTGTTGCTCATAGTCCAACTATGATAATCAGAGAAATACCTAAATCCTAGCACCAGTTTTACCAAGGTTCTGTATGAGGACAGTCAAGGGCATCAGAGGCACTCCAGGAGTAGCATATAGAGATTGAGGAGTTCTAATGCATCTGATTTTTGCTCATGGATGTAACAAGGAAAAGCTCATACCTATCTCCATATGATCAAATTAACTTTGAAAAGAGAAGAGCTTCACTCTGAGATCAACTAGTACTGTCTTTGGAGAGGGATAAAAAAGTATTTTAAGCTATAATTCTGTAGTTTTCATACACAGACCTATAGCAGCATTTGCATAGAGCAGCAGGTATCCAATCCTCCGCCTACTTTTCAAATCATTTCTCATATACTCGGTCATGAAATACAAAGCAAAACCAGAACTCATTTCCACACGCTTCCCAACTCTTATTATTTCCAGGTGTTTTAACAGGGAGCCGCGCGGACTGGAGTTCTACTTCCGCTCCTCCTCACCCCACTACGGCTCTCTCCAGAGTCCGAAAGCAGAAAAGGACCAGCCTGAAAGAGGGGAAGGGACGCTGGGGGGCAGGCAGGGAGTTCAAGAACCAGATCTTCAGTATAAATAAAGAATTCTGGCTGTTAAGTTTCCAGAAAGAAGTGATCACAGGCCTGGGAAGTCTGGCACGCGGTAAAGCCCAACAGGCTTCCCCCCAACTCCTAAACAACGACCTTTAGTAAGGGAGGGTTAGGACACCGCAGCGGCGAGACTTCCAATTGTGGAAAGTTTTAAACAAATTTGCTCCTCGGGGAATGTGGATGGGGGGGGGTGGTGGCGGGGGAAGCAAGTCTGGGTTCAATCGAGGGAGCGCGCGGGGTCTGCACGGTGCGCGGCTGTCGGTCCAACGCGGGGAGGCGCAGGGATTTTCGGCAACAGCGACTTCACCCATCCCGAGCCCTGGCAGGAGAACGTGCGCGGAGCCGGGCGGGTACATGCAACCACATCTGTGGAATGAGGACGCGGACGAGGAGGGCGAGTGGGGCCGGCGCTTAAGGGCAGGGGGCAGGGGGCTCTGGGTGGAAGTTGAGGGCTGGACGCCGGGCAAGGAGCACGAGAGACGGAGGGCGGCTCTACTTACTCGGCTGTACCAGATGCTGAGGCGGGCCGGGGCCAGCACCGCGAAGAAAGCCCTCTGCGGGTCGGACTGAACGTGGAAAGGCGCCTCGGCCGGGCTCCCCAGAGGGCAAAGCAGCCTCTTGGGCCAGCCGCTCAGGAAATACATGATCCGCGCAGAGCCACCGACGCCGGGGCGCCTAGCGGCCCCCGGCCCCGTCTGTCACACTCAGCGGCCCCGGGCTGGTCGCCTGCCTCCCACACCGCCACCGGCCGAGTCGGCGGCGGCGGCCGCGGCAGCTCGGGGCATTTGCCCGCTGGCCTGGCCGGGCCGGGCAGACGAGACGCTACGCGACGAAAGCACCCCCGAGCTGACGGGGCCGAGTGTGGGGGAGGGAAGGGGAGGGAGAGTCCGGACAGAGAGAGGGCGGGAGGAGCGCGGAGGCCCGCCCCGGCCCCGCCCCTTCCTCGGGCAGCGCAGGCGTCACCACGCCGCGCCGCGTGGGTCGAGCCGGGCAGGCCTGAGGCGCGCGCGCGCGCCCTGGAGACTTCACCCTTCCCCCTCGCTGTTTTCTGAAGCTCCGCCCTAATCTTCCCGACGGCTACCACGCTGCGTCAGTACGCATGCGCTTTAGCCCCGCTCCTTCCGCTCTGGCCCTCCCACCCGGGAGCTGGAGCTTGCCCTTAGGGGCTGGGGGCTGGCGGCTGGCGGCTGAGGCTGGGCCGAGTCGGGTGATACCGCGCTGCAGCTAGACGACTCGGCTCTAGGAACGTGCCCTTCGTCTGGCCTGGCCAAATTCGACTTCCCCTCCGGATTGGTGGAGCCTCTGATGGGGGCGGGCCCGGCCCCGGCGGGGGTGGTAGGTGGGGAGCGCTGGTCACGTGATGCTTCCTGCTGGTGTTCCCACTCAGCCACCGGCCGCGGCCTCGGCCCTGGGTTCTGGGGGCCTCTACTGAGGGGGGGTCTTTACAGAGGGAGTGCCCTTTGTGTTCTCGGCCAGCAGAGAACGGGGTATTACAGCTCCTGCTCTTAAGGACCTTACATCCTAGAGGGGCATTTCTTCATAATCTGTAAATAAACCACCTACCGTGCAAGTGCTGTCCTGTCCTACGCCCTGCGGGGGTTCTCGGACTAGCACAATCTATATTTTGAATTCCGTTACCGTCATCTGTTTACCTGCGAACCTCAGTGGCAGGGCCGATGCGTCTCTTTACCCTCGGTAGAGTTAGGTGCTGCAGAAGACTTAATTTTCGAGCTGGCATAGACTAGAGATAGCTGTAGTTTGGTATTTAACTTGTGGGCCCCAGAGAGCACAGTAACTAACTTTGCTTCGAAGTGATAAACTGAATAAGAGTTAGGCAGTGTTGAGGGCGAGAGGGTATGCAAAAGGAGGGTCTGGAATAGAAGAAAGACTTGCTTCTCATTGTCTTTTTTTGTACACTTAGAATCTTTCTGTATATTTGTATACTTCCATTAAAATATTTAAGAGAATTTCGGAAAAAAAATTAACTCGTGTAAAAAGTAACAAAAACTGCAAGCAGTAAAAGAAACAAAGTAACTTAATCAGTATCAGATACAGCATTGCAGCTGGTATTCATAACAAAATATGTAACTTTCCATAATTGTTCCAAATATTTGCTACATTCCCCTAGGGTGATCAAAGAATTGCTTCACCACTCGCCAGCCTCTTGTGGTCAGACAGTGTCTCCTGGTTTACCCCTTCTCCGTCCCCCTCCCCCCCGCCCGCCTCATCCAGTACAACAGCCTGGAACGTAGTAAGCATAGCGAACTCTGAAAATATTTGTCAGATGAAACTGTGGATGAACTCTGATCCAGCTCAGCTATGGCATTAGAGAGGACTAGAGAGGTTTCTTGACTTAGCAGTGCAATATTGTAGAATAATAACAGTTGCATTATACTGTCATTTTGCTCAAATTCAGTTATGCACTTGGCAGAGAAAGAGAGGAAATGAAAAAGAGGCAGCAGTTTCTCTGGCAGTTTAACTTAGCATTGTCTGTCCCACAGCTGGGTCTTCCTTTTCTTAGCTACCTCTTAAAAAAAAAAAAAGATCAGCGCGGTGCGCCGGTGGCAGCGGCCATTGGGGAGTGAACCAACGGCAAAGGAAGACCTTTCTCTCTGTGTCTCTCTCTCTCACTGTCCACTCTGCCTGTCAAAAAAAAAGTTGAAAAAATATATATACTATATACATATATATAGTATATATATATTATTTGAAAGGCAGAGTTACAGAGAGCCAGGGGCAGAAAGAGAAGTCGTCCATCCGGTGGTTCATTTCCCAAAGGGCAGCAGTGGCTGGAGCTGGGCTGATCCGAAGCCAGAAGCCTGGATCCAGGAGCTTCTTCCAGGTCTCCCATGTGGGTGCAGGGGCCCAAGGACTTGAGCCATCTTTCACTGCTTTCCCAGGCCAGAATAGAGAGCTGGATAGGAGGTAGAGCAGCAGGGACTCATATAGGATGCTGGCACTGTAGGCGCAGCTTTAACCCCTACGCCACAGTTCTGACCCCTCTTAGCTACCTCTTAGGCATGACTTTCTTAGTGCATTCTTGGACAATTTCAGGAACTTCTAAGTAATTTGTATTGAACTGAACTCTAACCTGCTGCCTGTGGAATCCATTTACCCCGCCACACTACTTTGTACCATTTAAAATTTACAAACTAATTTCAAATGCATAGTTGATTTAGTTCTACAGCAAACCCTCAAGGTAGATAACACTGATATAGTGTTGTTATTCTAGCTTTCTAACTGAGGAGATAGGATCAGAGAGAGGGATGTGTTGACAATCACATGGGTGGGAAAGAACTGGTCTTCTACAGATCTAATGATTGTAGACTGGACTGAACTGAATTATGGTAATTGCTCTGGATATTGAGAAGGGAAAAAATAAAAAATGAAATATCTGACTTTCCAAAACCCTTACTTAAAGAGTACCCTCCAGGGACTGGCACTGTGACCCAGTAAGTTAAGCCTCTGCCTTTGTCTCTGGTTCGAGTCCCAGCAGCTCCACTTCCAATCCAACTCTCTGCTTATGGCCTGGGAAGGCAGCAGAAGATGGCCCAAGTGTTTGGGCCCCAATATCCACATGAGAGACCTAGAAGAGGCTCTTGGCTTCTGCCTTCAGATGGTCCCAGCTCCGGCTGTTGCAGCCATCTAGGGAATGAACCAGTGATGGAAGACCATTCTCTCTGTCTCTCCCCCTCTCTGTCTGTAACTGCCTCTCATATAAATAAATAAATATTAAAAAAAAGAGTACCTCCATTGTGACAAACTTTCAGGATGGGATGGTGTTTTCTAACTTTCAAATACATATTTTAAATTTTATTTTATAAAATAAACTAACATTTCCTGTGCCTGAGGTCTGCCTTCTTCCTCTAACCACCACCACCACCACTGTGTCATCAAAATCCAGGACTCTATTCTGAACTAAGACTAAGCTGCCAAATAAAAGTTAACTGGTGTATATTTTCATCCACCAAACTAACATATTTTACTGTAAGAATGCTGATAAGGGGTTCATGGAAGAAGGTACATTCAAACACTCTGTTGGAGTACAATTTGGTGCATTTTTTTCTAAAAGATAGTTAGCATTACATATAAACAAGAGATCTTAGAAATATGCATACCTCTGGACAAACTATCTCTTTGCTATGATTATTTTTTAAGGAAATCAACACTGATTCGTGCAGTTTTAGTTTTAAGAATGTATTCCACAAAGGTGTCACAGAGAGGAAATAATCTAAATGTCCCCCAAAAGAAACAAGGTATTGTCCTTGCTACATTGGAAATGTTTTGTGGAAATAAAATTATATTGGGGAAGAATAATTAAATAGAAGTATGTTCACTATATATATAAAGAAGTAATAAAATGGATAAAAGCTTATAAATATCCCATTTTTATTATATATGTATTTATATATATAGCCTAGCCAAAAAAAAACTCACAAATAGAAGAAAATGTATTAAATGTTGATATTTTATTTTTTAAAGATTTATTTATTTACTTGAAAGAGTTACACAGAAAGAGAAGGAGAGGCAGAGAGAGAGAGAGAGAGAGAGGTCTTCTATCCATTGGTTCACTCCCCAGTTGACCGCAAAGGCTGGAGCTGTGCTGATCCAAAGGCAGGAGCCAGGAGCTTCTTCCGGGTCTCCTACATGGGTGCAGGGGCCCAAGAACCTGGGCCATCTTCTACTACTTTCCCAGGCCACAGCAGAAAGCTGGATTGGAAGTGGAGCGAACTGGCGTGCCCATATGGGATGCCAGCACTGCAGGCAGTGGCTTTACCTGCTACACCTTAGCTCTGGCCCCAAATGTTGATGTTTTAAAAACAGCTTGAGGCCGGCGCCGCGGCTCACTAGGCTAATCCTCCGCCTTGTGGCGCTGGCACACCAGGTTCTAGTCCCTGTCGGGGCGCCGGATTCTGTCCCGGTTGCCCCTCTTCCAGGCCAGCTCTCTGCTGTGGCCAGGGAGTGCAGTGGAGGATGGCCCAAGTGCTTGGGCCCTGCAGCCCATGGGAGACCAGGAGAAGTACCTGGCTCCTGCCATCGGATCAGCGCGGTGTGCCGGCCACAGCGCACCGGCCACGGCGGCCATTGGAGGGTGAACCAACGGCAAAAAAAAAAACAAAAACAAAAACAAAAAAAAAACCAAAAAAAAAACAGCTTGATTATGAATGTTTTCTATATTCTTTGGGCTTTTTTTCCCCAAATTGCCAATAACGAATTCATGTTCCTTTTTTAAAGAGAAAAAAGTATTTAGAGTGAAATTTTTAATGATTCATAATGTTCCATTTGTCTCACTCTAAGTTCTCACAGTGCTGGCAAATGAGAGGGAGAATGTAGTAATGTGGAGTTTAAGCACAGTCCCAGGACTAGTAAGAGAAGGCTTAGGGGCGAAGGGACCTGAGTGCTCTCACACATGTCCACGGGTTCTGATGCCGGAGCCGTGGCTGGACTTTGGTTCTGAGTACACCACTCCCGATGTTTGGGACCCCCACAAGTGTTCATGATAGTGATTTAGTGTATGACGCTAGTATGCCTTTAAGATTCAGCCTGATTACAGTTTTATCACGTGCAACCAATGTTCGTGCTTCTAGGCTGGACTCTTGGTTATCATGTGTTCCTTCCAAGAATGGATAATAAGTATATCAGCTGAAATGATGTGATGTCTGGGTTTTACTTCAAGGTGATGTCAGAGTGGATGGGGCAGGTACTGCACATGAAACGAGATTGTCCATGAGTTGATAATCTTTCAAACTGAATGATGAATACTTGGGAGTTCATTGTCTTACTCTCTCCTCTTTCATTTTTGGTGTCAATTTCTTCTTCTTGTCCTAGATTTGTTTGAAATATTACAGCATAGCATGAAAGTTCAAATGGATTCACATGGTGTTTAGACATCCACCCTAACTATAAGCTGAGTGACTTGCAGGTTGGACAGACTGCCAAAGTCCAAAAGCATTTCCTTCAGGTCAGAATCTACTTCAGTGATCTCCAGATAAAGG